TTCAGCCATAGCCTCTGTTCACTGCTGTCTCTGCCGCTGCTCCTGGTGCTCACTCAAGGTGGAGAAAACTCCTTCAGCTTTCTAGCTACAGGCACTTAGCCCAGTCTAACGCTGTTCCAAGTCCCTGCAGACCCCCCTGCCAGAGGCTGGGGGGGGGGGCCCAGAGGCCCCAAGGGACTCCGAGACCCTTCCTCGTGGCTCTACAACATGGCTACTTCTTCAACAACAACTACAACTACCTTCTCTTCCGTTCTGCTTGTGATATGTTTATATTTTGCAGAAGCGCTCATTGGGTAAAACCTCAAGGGTTACCACCCCCTGGGGTTTTATCATTTTATAACTTCAGGGGGAAAACTGTTTCCCCCCACCACACCTCTCCAAACCGAACTGTCCTATGATCATAAGGTTCAGTTACCTCGAGAACTTTTTGGTTTGACTCAACAGAATTGTGGAATTTTCCTAAATGAACTAAAATGCTTTTTCGTGCTGACATGAGAGGGTAGTAGGTGAACTGAGTTAAATAACCTTCTCAGTAGGACTCTGGAAACTTTGTCATGCTTGTGAAGGAGATATCCATTATTTTAAAAAAACTACATAGCAGGATGCACTAAACTACTGAACACTTTAAAGAATCCAGCTCAGGTAATATGATTTATGGGATGCAACACTTTGTAGGGGAACTTTAGACAGGTTGAATTTACAATTTAAGGGAGATACTATCCCAAGAAGCCAGTTTGAAATAGCTCCAGGGTGAGTTTAACTTGGAATTAAAGCTGGAATCCAGTGTCAGCAGAAACTACTATCTAGAGAAGTTTCATATCATCAGATTTATCACTAATATAACTGACTTGCTCTGAGTTCAGACAGATGCTATAGCAACATGGGCAGAGTTAAAGTACTGCTACATTCCTGTTTCTTATGTCAGTCTGCTCTGAGAGGCAGGAAAATAGTATATTACAAGAGACCACACAGAGTATTATTAGAATTTTTCTTTTTCGTTTGAAAACTATGTTATAAAATATATATACTTCTATGCTATTTTGCAAATATAGCTTTGATGGTATTTGGTGGCACATTCAAAGGAAAGCGATCCCAGAAGTACATAAACCTATTCATCTCTACCTGGTTCAGTTCACATAGGCATCCAACAGAAAAAACAGGGAAAGACAAACTGTCCTCATGCTCTTTTCATTCAGTCAGTGGCTGAAACAGGCACGTGGAGGTGACAATATGATCAAGCCTGATGTGAAACCAATTCACTCTGAGAACTGTCTGAAAAGGGCAGGCTGAACTTGTGAATAGCTTGCAATGTCCCTTTCCACCACCACACAGAAATGAAGGTAAGCATTAGGTTTTGGTTTTGTGAAGACTTATTCTCTCTTCTGGGAATCAGACTTTCTTGTGTCATGGCAGAGCCTTGTACATTATAGAAGAAATAATCTGTGGAAGGAACTGGATCAATTGTATCATTATATAATTATATAATTAAATAATGCTTTACTAATAATGGAATATGAAATAATTTGTGGCTATTTTACTGCCTGAGTAACTCTTTTAACAATCATTGATTACTTCATGATTTTTGTTAATACTCAACAGATGAAGTTAAAAGCAGCTTTTTCATGCTAAGGGGCAGGAAACCTGCAGGTCAGTCAGTGAGATCATCTGAAATAATTGTGGTGTTTTGAGGTATTTTTGGTTGTGGGTTTTGGTTTGATTTTTTTTCTAGTTTTCCTTTATTTCCCTCTCTCATGAATACATCTTAATATTAGTAGTTAATTACAGGCTTTTAATGAAGACAAGCTGTTATCTAATTTCTGGAGTTTAGCTTATATTGCATGCTGGGACTATTTATTCTGTCATAATAATTACTCTTTGAGCTGGTATTTTAGTGGGAAATAATCCAACAAATGAAACCACTCAGGACTCCTTGATTTACCAATCAAATATACCAGCACAAAGGTTTGTTTGAATTTCCACTGTTATAGGTATTGTGCGATTTCCCTTTTTATACTGTGAGGGCGAGTCCTTGAGGAGTTGAGCCTCACAGAACATACCTCCCTCTTCTCCTCCCAGTCACAGAGATTTTAGGAATAAGGACATTTGAGAAGGTGGTGTTATCTCTGACACCCACTTAGCTTGGGTTATAACTGTGAAAACGAAACATTATCATCTGATGACTAAGCATTCCACTAGTATCTCATTTCTATCAGCTGTCAGTACAGACAGGCATTAATACAATAAAATTAAACACAAGGAGAGTTGTGCTGCGTGTGAAAAGGTACTAGAACCAACTAAACAAATGAACCCCTCATGAAGAGCTTATTATTTTTATTTTAATTTGCATTTCCAGTTGAAGCTAATGAGAATTTAGAGGATGTTGGGTTTTGCAAGACAGATGGAGTTAGGATTTTTGCTCATGCTCAAATGTAATGGAGCAAAGCTGCCTTACTTTGGAGTAAATATCAGATTTCATGGAACCTTCCCATGGTTGAAAGTTGTCTTTCAATTGTTCTCAACCGTTAAGGGAGCAAAGTACAAGAAGACAGATTAGAATAACAATAGCTTTTCTTTTGTAAGATTTTTAACAAGGCACAGTGATGCAAAAAAATCATTACAGAGAAAATCATAACCTTTCTTGGATTATTCTGTTGAGTTCTGAACAGTTCATTTTCAAAGAGAGAAGTGGAGCTGCAAGACTCAAGTCTAGATCCTCAGTATATGAGCATAAAATCAAGATGTAGACTCTCAATTAACAATAAATTAACAATTTAGATATATGGGTGTAAGCTGAATGAAAACACTCAGAAGTCCCTTGTGTGACAACCTGTCCATGTAGATTTATTTTACATGTTGTGTAATGAATGGATTTGACATTCTTGTTCTAATCCCTTTGACCGTGAAGTCATCAAGGAGACTGGAAGGAATATTTGGCAATGATACCCTGAGGTCATAGGTTTTTTGGGCACTGCCTCACCAGAAGTGTTAGTACTGATCACTACAATGTTACCAACTACCTGTTGTCAGTGGAGAGAAATGTTTGTCTGTATAAGTTCAATGTAGTGTTGAATCTGAAGGGCGGTTTCTCATAATTTGAATCGTCTCCCTATTATTTTAGACATACAAAATATTTATTTTGTAAAAAGTTCAGATGAAGATAAAAAATTTTATAATCATCAAAATGTCATTTCCAGCAGGCTTTAAATAAGATAAAATTCCATAGGGATGAATATCATAAAAGCTCAGTTTTCTAAAGAGGATTTTTTTCATCTTAACTAAGAAAGACATTTACTTCTTTAATTTTAAATAATAGACTGTAGATAATTCTAAATTCTCTCAGAAACGTAGACTTAATTATTTCTAATATTCCATGGCAGGATTCATCCTCCCTGTCAACTATATAAGCACACATTAGGATCAGTAACATAGGACTCCTATACTCTGAACTCCTATACTATGACTCCTATACTTTCCCCAGAAAAGCCTGGGGAAAGAATCATGCTCATTGAATAGACAGAAATTCAGATACTGGGATTATCAAAAAAGTTGGAGGAGATCTGAATTGAATTAGTCTGGGATGGACAACCCAAGCCCCAGTGGACTTTGGTTTCATGGCTCCGACTGACTATAGCTGTCATTTAAGACACTAAAAATAGACCATCATTTCTACTGGATTACTGCCTTCACGACCTGATTCATGAAAGGGCACAAGGTGTTATAGACTTCATTGCACATGTGTAAGGAGATTCAGAGAAATTTAATGTCTTAGAAGGAAAAGGACTTACAATGGGTTGGTTGCAGGTGGTATTACCAAGCAAATACAAAAGTTTTGATATGTGTCTCCAAGAAATTTTAACAATGCCGGTACATTTTTTCTCATCACTGTGTTCTCTAATTCATTTCACTTTCACTGTGGGGATTCCAGAAGCAAAATATTGATTACTTTGTGCAATATTTAGTCTGCGATAATTGAATCCAGCCTTCTTAGATATCATTGTTGCATAACCATTATTCAGTTAGATTTTTCCATTAATTAATTTTTGCAGAATTCTTTCTCTATTAAGAGCTCAGTAATGTAGCTGCAGTATGCATTAACTGTCTGATGTATGTCATAAGACAGACTCAGATTAAAGGGGCAAAGCAGTCTGGAAAAGAAGCAGATAAAGAGATTGGACAGCAATATACCCACAGAAAAAAGAGAATACTTGTGTTAGGTTACACTGTTTTATAAAAAAACAGCGAAGGAAAAATTATTTGGATATGAGAAACTCAAGAACTTTGACATGTTATACCAATAAAAAATTACAAGGATTAAAAAGATGGAGAAAACCTTTCTCAGAGCATTAGATGTCAGCCACTGTCATGGTAACTCACCGGACAAGCTCTACACATGGACTACTGAAACATGGTTATTATTAAGTATAATTGCATCAAAATACAATAATCTATCAGCAACATAATTATATTTACATGATGAGAACACATCCCTTAATTAAAACACTTCCAGTGCTTGTGGATTTAAGCACCAACCTAATTTAACAGGTAAAATTTGCTCATCTGGCAAATCTCAGTGCTTATGAGTTTGTCTATGAGTTAGTTTCCAGGCTAGAGGATAGCCACAGCTGTCTATTTTGGTTTTATATTGTTGTTTAATTTTATTAAAGGGATTATAGGAAGCAATTCCTCCTCCTCAAACTCCTCTTTATAAAGACAACAGTACAAAATGAAAACTGTCAAGAACTGTGAAACCTCTCACTTGCAACGCACACACAGCTATTTTGTTACATCTCTAAAGCAGCACAGGTTAATAAAACAATTCAGTAACTGTTCCCATGCACTACATAGATCAAAAAGGTCCTGCCCTTTTCACAGTGACAATCAATCCTAAGGTTTCTGATCCAACATAAGAATTACTTGTCTAGTAATAGCATTCTCAGGGAAGAAGTTCAGGACACTGGCAGAAACAATGAATTGGGAAGAATGGGGAAAAAAAGCATTACCTGATAGTTTTGATCATGCTGAGCCCCATTTCAACACAGCAGTGTGCATGGTCCTGGCGAGGTTCTGGCAGCCCTGACACACAGTAGTAACAGTCCCCCAGAATCTTTATTCTGAGACAGTGATGTTCCTAAGCATAAATATATGAAAGAGATAGAAAATATTCGTGGTTATTTTTTTATAATTTTAATGTGAATATAAAAGTGGTAGAAAAATTACTGTATTAAAATAAAACAAAACAAAACAAACAACCCCCTCTAAAAAAACAACAATAACAAAAAAAAGACAAAAACCACCCCAAAACCAACTAAACAAAAAGAAACCATCTTATTTCTGTATGTTTCCTGTTTGTCACTAATACAAGTGTGATTTATATAATTTTTGAAATAAAGTATCTTTCCATTTTCAGCACAAAAAGTATAGTGCTTTTTCTTCTATGCTAATCCAAGTTGCCCTTGTTGGTAAGGAGAAAGGTTTCATCAGAGTTAGGTGGAAGCTAGGCCAAGGATTCAGAAACACCAGCTGAGATAATGAATAACCCATTTTAGACTATATTCCTCCAGGGCATCTTTTCTGCCCCCTGTTTACACTAGAAATAAATGAAAAACCTCTTTCCTCCCACTGATAATCCCTGCCCAGCTAATGTTTCCACTGTCACACTCAAGCATTCCCAACAGCTATAGGAGCTTATAAAGTATCTGCATGTCAAGGATCTCAAAAAAGGTGTCTTGCATTAGGCTCATGCTGTGGAGAAAGGATGTGTCTTTGGCATACAACTAGAGACATCCTTTAGCCTAGGAGCAAATTGTGAATTTAATTTCTAAAACAGCAAAATTTGGCCTATGATATGTGTTTCAGCTTTTCTCTTCTCTCTGGCAACCTGTGGTGGAGACTGCAGTAATCAAAGGAGTGGGGATACATTAAGCACACTGGTAAAAAAAATTTAAGTAGGATATAGGAGCATATGTGAATGCTGGCTCTGCCCCAGGAATTGAGTATTGTCCAAATGAATGGGACTACAGGCCCCATTCAAAGTTTTCCCATTCTAGGGAGAATGAAGCTTTGTAGTTAACCTCAAACAAGTCTTTAGCAATCCTGGAGTGACACGGGGAACCTACACACTTGTACCCAAAGCTTTTTCCGAAGTCAGCTGAAGCCTTAAGCATTCCAGTGAAAGTAAAATCTGCCCTGGGCACAGGGCCAAAGTAAGCTGATTCACCCCAAAATCTCCTTAAACCATCAGTAGGAGCTGACTGTGTTTGAAGCTTTGGTTAAGTCTGCAGCTAATACCGATGCTGTCTTGCAGAGTGCAATGCTCTGCTATCCAAGTTTCACACAAAATTCCAGACTGAATTCATATGTAGCTCTCCTTTTCCCTTGCCCCCTTCTCTTCAACCCGTCTGCAGACCCACACAAGTGAACACTGGGCATTTTTCATATGGCTGCAACTGAAATTGTACATCCTAAAATCCACCAAAACAATAGGGGTTTTTGCACATTTCCTCCTCAATGGAAAAAAAAAAAATAGAGAGTTTCACCTTTTTTTTTTTGCTATAGACTGAAATTATGAAACATAAAGGTTAATTGACAAGTGGGTAGGGCTCAATGGCATAAATCAGTGCATGTCAAACTGTTAATGGGCTTCCTTAAGCTTCAGTTTGTGTTCCCTGGTTAGCCAAAATGCAAAGAGATAAAGACATTATAAACCAGAGATTCTAAAGTTCTTTGGCTTTTCTAATAGTGTAATTCAAGTGATTTATATTCTAAATTATTCTTGCTTTTACATATACAAAGTAAAAGGATCATTTATAATGTCATATTGGTTTGACTGAGGTGGAATAAAGTAAAAAGCAGCATTTTCACTCTGCTCAGTCACTGCATATACATTACAAATAATATCTTCATAGTAGAATAGAGGATAAAAAAGGGAAAACCAGTCAATTTCTAGGAAAGAAAGAAAGAATGGAAGAAGGGAAGGAAGAAAGATATATCTCAAGTATTATCATATTTTAGTTTTTTAATTTACATTTTTGCATGCAACATTTATCATGCACTTGTAGAACCTGCTTATCTGAGGATGTGGGAAGCACCTATTAAGTGAGAATCTAATTCAGTACAGTTAAAAACATAGTCTACAACAGAAAAAAACCCCTCAGTTGTTTGGTTCTTAATGCCTTGCCTAAACTGGTTGAAGTGTTGATCCCAGTAAAGACAGGTGAAACTTCTGTCACCTTGCTGCATGTCTGAAATTCAGAACAAAGCAGACAATTCCAGAGATGTGCTTTTTACAAGAATAAGAAATAAGAATCTGAAGCATGACAAGACCTGCTGATTAGGGTCTGCGGTACGCAAGTGCGAGTGTGTGTGTGACACAGGAGATCTGTTCAGCTGCACATGACTGCTTGTTTTTTCTTGTCATGATATGTCACCTCACTCATTTGCCAGAGCTCAGGAAGTTGTCTATGGAGCGAGATATCCAAACGGAGATGACTGTATGTAGGTGTCCATATGCCAACCAGCAGTCAAGCTTGCCACTACCGTCAGAGGAGAGCCAGGCAGTGCAGTCAGGGGAGCCTGGGGACCGATTCAGCTCACAGCCAAAGCACTTGTCTGGGCTTCAGTTCAGTTGTGTGTTCCTAAACTTGCAGTGTATCGGTGAGACACTTGGGTATGTGAAAGACCCACACAGGACTAACAAACATGACATAAGATTTACATCCCACCGGACCAGTGCAGGGGTCAGGCAAGGTGTGTCTATTGACACAAGAAGCCACAAGGAGCTTTTAAATGATTCTTTATCTTCTTCTTTTTTCCTCTTTGTCAAATTATTGTGACACTTAAATGTGAACTGTGTTATGGTCTGGCTAAATTGCTCTCATGCTTTTTATTCTTCCCTTATTATTCCCATTATAGTTGTTTCAGAAGTAAACTCTGGACTTTTTATCACTGCAAATATTTCACCTAGAGCAAGATAATTCAAAAACTGACAGGAAGGACAGGGGGATAATGGCATCTGCCTTTGGCAGAGGACTTCATAGTCTCCTGAGATTCCCTCCAATAACTCAGTAGTCTAATCACATCTACAATTTAGACTGGAGGCTTAGTTGGAGTGGTTGTACTAATGCATTAAGGTTAGATTCATGGCTAATGTGGGTAGCCATGCTGTAGTTTTAAATAGGAGACAGTTTTGTAAGGGCCTACCCACTTTTCAGGGGTATAAAATAATAATAGTAGAAATCAAGATTTTTGTCATGCTGTAGAGCTCAAGCCCACTTCCTAAAATCATCTCAATGCAGTGGTATCTTAGAGTGTAAAGGTGAAATTAAAAGAAAATTAATAAAAAATCCAAACGTATGAAGAAACTGTAAAATGAGTAAATTATTTAAATAAGAGAAAATGGGCCCACAGGAATATTGATACAGGTAATATTTTTCAATACAGTGTTAAAACACTGTTGTGAGTCTATCATCATCTTCTCTTTAATTTATTCTATTCCTGTTTCCCTTTTCATAAGCAATTCCAGACGCTGTCCTTGGGCATGTAAATGACAACTGATATTATACAGACATTCACATGAGTATCCATCAGCCTCACACCCCTTCCCATATTCATTCATTAATAGCAATTACTGAAGGTATCAATTAAATTCTCAGCTTGTCACAAATAGGGGCTCTTTTCCCTCCTTACTTGCAGCTTTTCATTTGCTGCAAGTGAAAGATTAAGGGGCCTGATTCTGCCAAGATTAATTCCAATCAGAATTTTTGCCTGGGGAATATTGAGCAGACTCAAACACTCAACTATTTTAAATAATATTTCTAGATTAATTCAGTGGCAATTGATAAGAAATCTTTTTCCAATTCACCGTAATCCAGAGCAAAAGAAAATATGCATATTTTTCATAAATAATTATCTCGTATGTGGTGAATGATTTATGTTTGAGCTTATTAAATACACCCCTAGTGACTGGAAAGGAAGCCAAGTAAATTGGCATAAGGTGGAGCTGCAGAAATGAGTTGCTCAAATATCGAGTTACTGAAAGACACAGTCAGAGACTTCATTAATATTTCTTGTTTCCTTGGGCTAAATTTCTGACAAGGGGAAAAAAGTTATTGTGTTTTATAAGTTACGCCATTTTTTAAATTCTGCCCGTGGTGAATTAATCACTTCATCTACTTTTGAAGGGAACACTATAGGCTAGTGAACAACCCACAGAAAAGTCCAATTTTCTTTCAATTTTTATAATTTTAAGCTAAATATTTAGAACACTGTAGATAAGAAATCGCTGAGGCTGAACTACAGAACAAAGCGATAATACACATAAGTCTTCTTTTAAAAGGTAACCAGAATGGGAGGAGGCAGGGACTTGGCCTTTGTCTACAATATCTCAGTTCCTGTAACATTTGCCAAAGGTAGAGGAAACCTGGATAAAGGACTTTTCTCAGCATGAATGGGGCCAAGGCCAAAGCTCTTAATCAGCAGTCTCGTTTAGGATGGGTAGGAGAGAGAAGTCCATCCAAATTCCTTCTATTTCAGCTCTGTCACTTTGGAAAACAGAGCTGGGACCTTGAGAGAGCCAGATGGAGGGGAGTTCTCAAGCCTGGTGATATAGGCAAGAATGAGGACCAGGTCTGGGACCCAGTTGCAAGGATTGTTTCTATTTTTCATACACATAAAGGGAAAAATGTGGCAATCTTTCATCCTCTGCCTGAAACAGGAAATACTTAAGTATGGTATGGCCCTCTATTAAAAACTTTGTACATATTTTAACAAATAATGCAAGGAATGTTTTTTTTTTTCTTTAGAATAACCTATGGTGAGGTGGTTAAGACTCCTCCAGGCTGACAGAAAATATGGGTTTGGGGTCTCTCATGCTGCAGAAGGAATTGAGGCATGTTCCTGTGTGAGTTTTATAATATATTATATCAACATTTCTGTTCCTTGCCATACTGTAGAAGAAAAACAGCTGTGACTGTTGTGTCTGGTGAGGAATTCGCCTTGCCAGCTAATGTTAATTAGATTATGCCACAATTTCAGATGTGGAAATTCCTGTCAGAAAGATTCAAGGTGTTTCTTTCTAGATAAAGCAAGAGCAATTCTTCAGGGAAATTCTGCCCCTTAGGAGTTTCTAAAACTTTAGTTACTTCAGGTATGTGGGACACTGGTCAGAAACATCTGAACAAGCGTGTGCCCGGGTGGCCAAGAAGGTCAATGGTGTCCTGGCCTGTATCATACTCCAGTGTAACTCTGCTTCTTGATACAGCAACACAAATATACCATCATGGCCAGTCTTTGCAAATGAAGATTTGGGAAAGGTCTTAACCCTTCAAGCCTGTGCAGTGGATTTTTTAGGTGAGACACAGTGTGCGCTGAACTGAGCCCACCCTTTAATCCTGAGGTTCATCTGCCGGGGCCGAGTGAGCTCAGACAGTGGCAGTGAGGTCCTCAGGACGTAGGTTTGTTTAGAGTGACCTTCTCTTAGATGGATGGCCTTACAGGGCTGACGAGCTCCATCTGCCTGGAGGAGTTTCCTGACCGGGAATCGCACCCAGGCCGCGGCGGTGAGAGCACCGCATCCTAACCACTAGACCACCAGGGGTCCTCAACACAAATATATACATGTGAAGAAATTTGCAGCCTTTTTTTACTAGCATATATGTTAAAACAGACAGTGTGTTTTTTAGGGAGTCTCTGGACTCCTGCAGATTATATGCTTGAAGGTAATATCACCAAAGAACAAAGCACTGCCAGCTCAGAGCTGAAATGTGGCCTGGAACAGTAAAGCACTTCAAGAGGAGTATCTTTGTCATGGAAGCAAAAGAGCCACCAGTCGTCCCTTCCTGATACCAGCAGGTACAGGTATTGTACTGGGGCTATAGGCTGATGCATTGTTGTGGAGTTAGGTTGGTTGTAGTTAGGTTGGTTTTCACCCCTGGAAAAACTAGTCACAAGTAAAATTGGTAACACACTATTGGATGAATTTTTGGCAGCTTCTCTGCAACATCACAGGAGAAAATATAATCAAGGTTAGAGAAAAAGGACACCTCTCTTAGAAAAAAAAACCAAACAAAACAAAACCATCACTTCTTTAATAAACTCATTTATTTAGGGTTTTAGTCTTTCCTCTTTGTCATATCTGAAACCGAATCTACACACAGTATAGATGCATTTAGAAATATGACAATTTAAAACATAATATTGGCTGACACCTAGCACTGCAGAGAAGGCAGAGGAAAAACAAACATCAAAAAAAACTATTATTTCATCAAAGCAGGACCTTTTTTAGGATTAAGTGTCTTACTGAATGTCATCTTGTTTCCCTTCTCTCCTCAAAATTTCTGCCTAAGGAAAGTATTAATATTAATTAAGTTTCTGTTTAGCCCTTTCAGTAGATGAATATATAAGGAAATGTTTTCCTCTTTCTGTTTTATGCCAACTTATTTCTCTTCCTATTTAAATGTCACTTTTCTCTTTAGTAACTATAAATCTTTTACAAATATCATAGAGTGATTAGAAAGAGGAAGTAGATGTACATAACATATTATTGCATTTCTTTCTTATATGAAATATTGAACTTTTATTCAAAGTGTTCTGTGGTAATGATACAGGTATTACAGATTTTTATTAATTATATGCATTGACATATGCCATAATACTTGATGTAACCTAGAGAAGATTAAAAAAAATAATCTCAGAGCTCTCATTCCTTCTGCATTGCTTAATAAGGTTTAATAAGAGAGACAAGAAACTAAGCCAAATTACATTCATCACCAAGCTGTGAAATAGTGTCTTCTTTAATATTATATGATTTATATAAGACATTAGAGAAGATCCAGCAATCCTTTATATGGTACTCTAAAATAATACTTTTATTTAGAAGTAAATAGGGATTTATAAGGATTTTCCTTAAAATCTAAAGAAACTGCCTCAAGCCTTCAGCAATTGACCTCTTTGCTTCGATGGTAATTCTTAGCAAAACCCAAGAGTCTGAGTAACAGTGTCTATTTGAAAGAGTTTTGATAATTCTAGTTAAGCTGATTAAGAAGCAGTTAAGTGATAGATCTGAAACCTAGATGTGAATGTGTAATCTTCCTTACAGGAAGATCCTTCTTGGGAGGTCTTGAAAGGGCCACTTTCCAAAAGGCCTGTCAAGGATTTACAGGCAAGTAAGAAACCTTTGCTAGTAACATTTGCAAAAGGAATAAGACAAATAAAATGAACGATTCCAATGCAGACATCAGGGTCACAACATGACAGCAAAGACATAAACCCCCAAAATAATATTTTTCAGTACAAAAGTGTTATTATTGTATGCTCAGAAACATGATATTTGGACAATGATCAGAGAAAAAGAGAATAGGAGGAATGGTGTTAATCTGCCTCCATCATGCTAGTAGAGGTTATGTCCAGAACACTTTTTTCAGTGCTTTAAAAGGGATTCAGGAGAAGTGGAGGTGTTCCAGAAAAGCAGTCCCCAAAACTATTTGAAGTAATAAATCTTATGGAGTAAAAAACCTCACAATGAGTTTGGTCTGTTTCTTTTATCAAAAGGAAATGTGAGAGGCACCTTGATCAAAGCATGCAAATGTATTCCCAGAGAAAGTCAGTAGCTACAAGATTGTTCTTTTGTCTGAGAATAATGGGTCATAGCAAGAATCAATGGATGTAATTCAAAGTCAGAAAAAAATCAAACAGGAAACAAGCCATGCTGAATTAACAGTGTGAGTCTTAAGGTACTGGAAGAGACTATCAAGACACACAAGTATTTCTCCATCTTCTAGTACCTTCAGATGAAGACCAGGAATTTTTCCAAAAGATACACCTTTACCAGGTGTGAAAGCTTCATACAATATCAGTTGGGTAGGTTGATATGTCTGTGTAATTCATAAGTCCTTAAAATCTGGGACAAGAACCAGTCAGCATCCATTTCCAAAAAAGGCAAAGGTTAAGTTCAATACAAGTTTTAGACACTTTTATTTTAGGCAGTTGGCCCCCTCCATAAGAGTCCAGTGAAGAGTCTTGATTTCCTATAAAGTGAAGAGGGAGAATTCATCTCCTTGGGTTGGTCAGAAACACCGAAAACCTCTCTAGGGAACCAAGAGAGGCTCCTCTCTGTTGAGCATCACTTTTGTCAGGATATCAGACAGTTGTCATGACATCCAGGTCTCAGAAAGTCACATAAAAGGAACACAATCAAAATGTCTTTCTTTTTTCTAAATTTTAATTAGTCCTGGTCAGATCATTCTAATCTCTGTTGTCAAATCTGTTCAATTTTTGCAGTGATTCTTGCCTGTGTCTTCCACTTTTTCAGAGGATTGTTCTAGACCAGTGGATTAGTCTAATCAAGGATGTGTAGAAGAAAAAAGCAAATTCCTAAACTACGAAAGAAAATGCATGAAGGAGCCTAGACTCTTGAATTTAGGGACTGGGACTTCCCATATAATTAAAAATACCAAGTGGCAAGTGAGGGAAGATTCTCTGGATTAGACTTTTGGGTGTCAATGCCTTCCTTATTCTTAAATCCTTTATTGGATCTAGTCTTTCTATACATAATCTCTATTAGTTAAATATAGATTATGGAATGATTACAAAATATGGTTAATGATCATGAATGCCAGCCAAAACTGAATTGTGAAGCAAGGCGATAAAACATTTTATGTACACATTCTTCCTAAAATATTTCTGTGACATACATTCATTTAATTTGGTGTACAATATATTTCTTCAGTTAAGGTAGCTATTTTTGTCAAGCCATACAAAAGCAGACATTACTCCTATGAGGCTTCAAAAGACAAGACTGAGATAATTCTTTCACCGTGCTTGGTTTGCAGTGTAGATCAAAATTGATGAGAGGTTTTTGTTTGCAAAGCAAATATTATAAGTTGCATTTACCAACTTGCCATACCCAGGCAATGGGTTATAGTATCACTCTGTACATAAGAAAATTTGCTATTTGATATAAAAATAGTTGACTCTAAAGAGCTCTGAAAAATTATGGAAGTCTTGCCTTCTTTGATTTTAATTTGTAAGCTAAGAGAAAACTCCAAGGTTCTCACTGATGCCCATGCAATTAATGTACAAATATCCCATAACCCTGAACTAGAAATATATAAAAATCAGCGAGGGGTGTAGATCTGTACATTAGACCAAGTCACCGTGGGCTAGCTTGATAGTAAACAGATAACATGGTCTATGATGTTCAGAATGAAGTTCACGTTTTCCCACAGTAGGTGGGAACATTTGGTTGGATAAATTATAGGATAAACTCTATTGAATGTACCTCATTGCCTCCACTTGATAGCCTTATTAGTCAGCTCAGATGTTGAAACCTAAAGATAGTCTCATTAAATGAAATTTTGACCAAAGAAACTTGAAAAAGAATAAAAGATGCTAGCCTAGCAAAACTGAGCATGTGATCTGCTTGTATTTTTGTGCTCTGTTTTTTTTCCTGGTCAGTGCTAATTAAGTAGCAACTAATTTGTCTGATGTAATAATTTCCTCTGCTGTGTTTAATTAATTTCATTGTTGAGTTAGACAGAATCCAACCTAAAGATTGTAAACCCTACTAGTAACTAACCATTACAATGATTGTGGGGAGTGATTACATGACCTTAACCTTCCTCAGTCCTCAGATGAAAAGACAAAATGAAACTATGGTCTAAAAAAAAAAAAAAAGACAAAAAAAATTTTCCAGCAAGGACCAGAAGTATAAAGTTTCCTTAGATATTGTGATAGATGATCTGCTTTTGTACCATTCTTGGTCCAGCACCACAGAAGCACAAGTTCTGCTAACTACCTCAGTTTTCACTTGCTATCAGAACTCATCACTTTTGATGAAATTTCTCAGTGTCTTCCAACCTCAACGGTTGTACAAAATCCCTATGGGGAAAATCTCGATGATTATTGTTCAAAGTGATCAGAGGGTATTTCCCAAAGCTCCCAAATACAGAATTAATTTTGTCTTTTTCCAAATACACTGTGTTTAACTCACGTGTGCTAGTCGATCAAATCTGGCAAAGAGTTCATTCAGCATTCGGACCAGCTCCTGGGCTGACAGAGTTGTGGAAAGGTTGGTGAACCCTTTGACATCTGCAAAAAGAATGCTAAAAAAAAGAAAAAATATTAATATTGCGGTCTATTTCCTTTGATTTCTGAATATCCTAAGTTACCTCCTAGTAATTTACTGTAGAAGGCTCATTTTACTAGTTTTGAAGTCATGCTACTTTTGCTCTAGACTTCTGGAGATTCAGGAGTAGCGAATATAAATATTGAAGGGATTAAACAAATACTACTAAGCAAGAGTTTTGCCCAAAATGAAATTCATAAAATTATAAATTTTAAAAAAATTCAAGAAAATATATTTAAGCTTTAATAAGTACAGCTATCCCCTTTTATTAATGGGAAGCCTGAGGCATTGTGCACCCTTAATATAGAGGGCTGTATAAAACAGATAGACTTGACACTCACAGGTCTATTAGTATCTGACAGTGTTCTTTGAGGGTGGGTTTATGTATAGCTGGTTTTTTACAGCAGGTTTGATTTCAGCAATTTCATTTTACTGTGATTTTCAGGCTTTTTTAAATCTGTGTACTGTATAAGACTCAAATCCTAAGACTACAGACAGATTAATGACAGTCTTGATATATACCAGGCTCAGGTCAGTTTTACTGCATCAATTTTAGACATTTGACAGAAGTTCCTGAGTCAGAAGTATAGCGTTCTCTTTTTAGGGTATGAATCTTTAATTGGATAATTCCTTTTTCATTTTATTTACTTTACAGGGAGTCCAGTGAGATCACACTTTGATGTTGGGTGTATCAAATTGTGTGCCTGAAGTTGTGGTGGAATCTAAGATAACAAGCTAGTTGCAAACAGAGTTTTATCCTATATTTTAACATCCAGTGAATTTTCTAGTCTTTCAACTGTTCACTGTGCCTACAATGCCCACATGTGAATATAGAGAAACACACACACACAAAGTCTGTGATGTGCAGGTTGTCACCCAGGCCAAAGCACGTAATAGCTCAGTACTTATTAGATGAAAAAAGTGTTGTCTATTTTAAAAAGTAGTAATGTTCAAAAAGTCACGTATCTTTCTGGTACAAACTGGTAATAACACAAACGAATCTTGTTAGCACTTGAAAGTCAACTAATAACTGCTGTTACAATTTGAGTAGCTGAAGATTTTGTTTCACTTTAGCTGAAAGCTTGTGTTAAACAAGATACAATTTGTGTGAGAATTACTAATGTACACAATAATAAATACAGTGATGATCAGGTTGAATAGTGATAGTACAAATCATCTTCAAATGTATGGGCTGGTAGGGATTCGGGTGATGATTAAACAAGAGGCTCACAAAGTTGGTAAGATTTTTACCAGTGAGAAAAAGTAAAATTAAAAGGTAAAGTACCAAGCTCTCTGAAGAGGAATAAATAGTAATAATAGCCAGCATTTATAAAAATAAGATTTTTAAACTGCTATTTTCTACACTTTTAATTATAAAAACAACAAAAGTTTCTAACTGGATACTAATTTTAAGGAATCATATAGCGTTGGTTTAGGTAGTATTCAGTGCTTAACATTTAGGAAAAAAATAAGGTTAAACCTAGTCTTAAAAAGATCTAGTTTCTGGCAGTGTGCATAGAAGCCAACCAGTACCTTTACTGTAAAGCCTGCAGAATCTTAATTTTAAATCTCTTTCAAGTACAAAATATGTTTCGACTTTTTATCTCTCACTGTAACCCTTTTCTATTCAAAAAAAGGGCTATCTTCTCCCTATTTTTATTCTTCTACAGCAATATTTACCTTGGGAATGAAAAAGGTTAATGGAAGACATTTTAATTTAGTGCAACTCAAACCTTTTTTGAGGGTCCTTGATACTTTCAAGCAGAATTAATAGAATAAAATAATATATCTGAGCTACTGCATGGCCACAGAAGAAGTAGATAATCAATTTACTCTTTCAGAAGTGCAAATTACAGTTATTGAACTTGTCCAGGCAAAGTTATATTTGGGTTTCATCAAAAGGCAAAGTACATTCTTTCCTAGCAAATTATCTCCCAACATATCCAAGAATGTTATTTTTCACTTCCTTCAGTGATAATTTCAATGTTGCTCACTCTATCATTTGCCTCTGTGGTTTGGGACAAACCTATGAAACATGTTAGCAAAGTATTCTAGTGTTCAGGAACCACAATAGAATCAAGATTCTGTACTGTCAGAATTATTCTGGTGTAAATGTACAATTAGGGCTTATTACCCTGAGTAGCAGCTCATAGGTAGGATAACTATCACCTTCTTGCTAACTAACTCCAGGAAAGGCAAAATTGAGAGATCAGAATAAAGAAATAGGATTAAGAAAATAATAATAAGATTGATTAAATGAAAATGACTACTAAACAGAGGAGCCATATAACAAGGAATCATCTTTAAGAGTATCTTACAAGTCTCCATCTCATGTTTCAGTATGTGAGGTGAACCAATAGGTTGTGGCAGAATATGTGTCCACATGTAAGCAGGAATCCACTTTCTGTGCAATCCTGAACAGCAAGGGTAAAAAAGTGAAGAAAAAAAAAAAAGAACCAAATGGTCCACACTCAGAGTTCAGTTCAAACGGATCTTTCTATGGCAATGGCATCCATCCATCCTGATGAGTAAAATAAGGCACCAAAATGCTTCTCTGCTAAGGGACTAAACAAGCGTACACTAATTTTCTAATTTATTAATTAATAAAGCAACAGAAAGGAAACTCTCAAACAAGAGTCATTCAGCAGCATCTGAGACCTTAAACACTAAAGACAGGCTGCTCCACCCACCTGACATTCTCATAGCGATGAATGTAGATCTTATGAAACTGGTGTTGCAAATGTTCATCCTCTACATTGGTCATGTCATTTATCATTTCCAGGACTACAAACCGTGGTAAGACAGAGAGCACCAGCCGTTCCTAAAACAAAGAGGAAAGCAAAGGGTCAGTATCAGTCTGAACTGGTACTTCACAGTGCCCTGTTTAGAGCTGGATAGCTGGTTATTTAGGGTGTTACCCTCTTCTCTAAAAATTCTTTCTCAGACCTTGTGATAGTTTACCTTACCAACCAACCAACCTAGTCCAGAGTCTAGCATGTCTCTGGACTGACTGGTTTAGATAAAAAAGAATGCAAATTACTTCGACTGAAGCCGTTCAAACTGACCCTCTCTGCTAGGAAGACTGCAGAACATATTCAGCATTTCTGATGAGTTTTGTCTGTGTCTCAGGAACACTCAGGAAGAGTAACATTTGAGACAAGTTGAAATGATACGTGATTATATACATGCACATGCTTACTTATAATGTATATCTTTAATGTGTATTAGTAGAGTATCCATGTATATTAGTTCATTATTAGTGTGCAAACACAGTACATCTGTGCATATTAATGTACATGTACTTCTAATATTAGTGTATAAGGAGATACATACCTATAAACACAAGTGCTTTTTTCCAGCCCCTGTCAAATTATAGCTAACCATAGAACTTCCACAGAATTTCAAAGAATATTCTGAATTGGAAGGGACCCACAAAGATCATCCAACTCTTAGGTGAATGGCCTGTATAGGGATTTAATCCGTGACCTTGATGTTATTAGTACCATGCTCTAACCAGCCATATGTAAGCACAGCCAGGAAAGCCCTCAGAAGATAATCAGTCTTTCATGAAAACCCTAGATCACTGCCTGAGAAATTTTAGAATGTCCCTGTTTCAGTAGCTCATCAGTTTGACGGCATCAACAGATTTTGCAAGTATCCAACCCAAATCTGTTTCTCCGCAAATTAAGCTTTCTTTTAATCCTTTTGAAGTGGCTATGGATAATTATTGATTGCTACCTTCTCTGTAATAATCTTTTTGTACTAAAATATTGTGATTTCGTCCCCTTACCCTCAGTCTCTTTTTTTATTCTTTTAATTAGCCAGATTTGTCCAGTATTGGAACATATCACCCCAAATTACTCCGAGGCAAAGCTAACAGTTTTTTGCCAAACTGGTTCTTATGCTTTACAGAATTGCAAATAGTGAAATCTTAGTGAACTAAAGAAGAGAACATAAGTTCTGTAAGCTACTTATCATCAAATTTCAGGTGACATTTCAGTGAATAGGATATGTCTAGGGAAAGCCAGACATGAACCTCCAAATCAGACACATATGGAAACTGCAGGTGACACAGATGAGTAAAGTTCTCCCAGGTAATGCCAACAGAGGAAATACAGTGCAGTGTGAATATCTTCCTGTGTTTTCAAAGGAGTTTAGTAATACTACTGTGGAGAATGCACTTACAGGGAAGGGCATGAAGCTGTGTCAGGGGAGGTTTAGGTCGGATATTAGGAAAACAGTTTTCAACCAGAGAGTAGTTGGACACTGCAATAGGCTCCCCAAGGAAGTGGTCACAGCACCGAGACTGACAGAGTTCAAGATGTGTTTGGACAACACTCTACCCTCCCCTCCTCTTCTCTCCTCTCCCCTTCTCTCTTCTCCTTGCTGTCAGAGAAACTGATGTTGAGTTTTTTGTGGGGCAACTTGATACTAAGAGGATATAAAATAACCTCATCTTATCCAGGCTGTGGGTTATGTCCCTTCTTGAGGGTAAAAAGTTGGTCAGAGAGAACAAGACAGATCAAAGAGGGATGATGGGTGGAATGAGAGAGATATGCAAAGCAATCATGAAAATAATGATTTTTATGCCAGCAGGATTCAATGTCATGGGTGAAATGTAGCCATACATGAAACATCTGAAAAAAATGAAGGAATGTCTCCCTAGGATTCATAGGAGGTGATATCATTCCTAACTCACAATTTTTACAGTGTAGCTCATGAAGAATTTTCACTCTGAGTGGTCTTAGTCAGTAGTTAGTAAACAATCCTCAGCTACAATGGAAACACATTGTGGATAAACACCTCCATTTGTCTAGATGGCAGCCCCAGCTGAGGTGAACTGTGCATTTGCTTAAGAAGAGAAAACACATGCTGCTAATTGCTTAACTGGAGCAGAGGTGTATTAAGCTTCATTCCGAGATGGTGGCTTTCTCCTGTGCTCCTGCCTGCATGACAGGCTAACACAGAAGATGAGAAATCTGAGAATCTACTGATCTCTAATACACTTGTTCTAGAAACCTTTACTAAATTAAGTATTGTCTTTGGGAGGGAGAGACAAAAAATAATGTGAGGCAGCAATGGCTGACGCAGAGCAGATGGTGAGCTATAACACAGGGAGCTCATCCTTTATTCTGCTAAAAAGCCCAACTCAGACTTTCCTTTTTGTCATACAAGGTGGTGTTAATTTTAGCATATCTTCATTGTCTTGACTTTCTTCCACCCTTTCCACCTGGGAATTCCTCTATCCTATACTCTTCTGATGTGTAAACACTGGATGTGATGCTTGCGATAGCAAGAAGAAAACCAGTCCCTCAGGAGGTCCTTTATACGCCTGCAAAAGCAAATTTTCACAGAAACATCTCGCCCTGAGGTAGCTTCACTCATAAGCAAATGTCCCATGGCATCTGAAGATGACATGTTTGGGAAGAGCTGCTGATTGATATTCTATGAACCAGAAATATTTTTTATATTTTTTGTCCTTAAGCCTCCTATAAGAGAAGGCACTTAGGCTATATATTCTCTTATTCCTTCACTATTAAGATACATAGCTCAATATGACCATATAATAAATCCACCCTCTGAACAAATCAGATCAGTCTTTCAGGGAGTTGTATGATTAAAGTGTTTGATGACTTCTTGTGAAGATATATACAGAATAATATAAATTTTTTTCACTGTAAAAAAGCAATATGTTATTTCCTACCTTATCCATGTAAGAAGACAAATAGGAAAACAAATTCAAAATGAAAAGGAGATAAAAGAAAGTGAACAGAAATCCTGGTTATTACTGAACTCTATGAAATCTACGATAAGAGAACATAAAAAAGGTAATTTCTTCATAGATATATGGCTTAAATGGAGAATGTTCTTTTTTTTTCCTAGTAGGAAAATCTTCTGTTCCTTATTTGCATTCACTTAAGAAGGTATTAAGCAATGTCTCTAGAATGTTTATTTAAAATAAAACATAGTTGGCTTGACACATGTTCACTAAGCCAAGAGAATATGCCCAGCACATTTGATAGCCTAACCTTCATGCTACTCATTAAGGTAAGTTAAACGTTCTTGTCTGCACATAAGATCGGGCAATGACCCATAAAACTGAGGTTAATTAGTGTGCCCCTGCAGCAGCACTCCTCCATTAGCGCTGCAACATGTGAGGAGCCTTCGTTGGATCACAAGTGAAGGTGCATACACAGCTCATGTCACTATTCTGCATTATCTGTGTCATGCTGTGGAGGAGCAGTACAAGAAAAATAACATTTAATTGTGTATGTGTGACTGTGTCTATATATATTTTTATATGGCACTTCAGCCACCAATCAATTCTTTGGTACTGAAACATTCAAAGGACAGAAAATTTTTCCCTTTGTGGGCATCAGCAGTCTCTTGCTGTCCCAAGCTCCTCTTACACCACATCACACTGACAAGGATGGGGATGCTGAACCAGGGCCCTTCCTCAAATTGGAAGCTGAGAGATGGACTCTAGTGTGGATCACTTCCATCCTTTCTTTTCCTACAGCTGATGCTAGTGTTCTGTGGACCAAGATATGTCCCTCTTCATAGGCCTTTCATATCACTTTGCTTCAATCCAGCAGTTAAAAAATATTTTTGGTTACTAAAGAATGAGAGTCAGGTCACTGTTCCCTTTATATAACAATCCTTGCCACATAACTCCCCTTTAAACTCATTAAATATTATTGTTCCCATTTCACAGATTTAGATACTGTGGCATGGAAGAACAGCACAAATGAATGGGGGTCATGTGTAAAAGAGTAGTAGCAAATCCCAGAGAAAAAAAACCTGCAATTTTTTTTTACAGTCTTCTGTATCTTACTATTTGCACGATCAAAGAGTCCTCACATTTCTAGTCAATCTCTCCTGGAAGGCATTGTCAGAGCTGGAGGAAAAAGCATGAGAAAAAATATCTTCTCTATTTCAGAGAAGAATAAAGAAGTGTCATGAACTCCAGGGTGAGAGAAACTACGTTACCCAGTTCTATTGAAAGCTTGCTAGTTGAGCAATGGGCTAAGTGGTTCAAGGGTGAACAGCAGTAGCAGTAAGTAGTTTCAAAAGAAATGGAGATATATTTGTTCAAGAGAAAAGACAGAGAAGAAAGAAGATAGCAACAAAGGGATGCCAGAAAAGAGCTGGTGAACTATTATCCTAATAACCATTTATGACATGAATCAGCCCTAGTCTTTAAGATGGAGCAGTCAGAGTTTAGAGTAAATAAACAAAAAAAGAACCTTTAACCTGAAGAATAACCAAGGTAAAGAATAAAGACCAGTAGGAATCGCTATATGTAACAAATTGATGGTAGGATTCAAGTCTGAATTCAGACACCTGATTTTTTGTGACTGCAATGTAGGTATGCCCAAAGTTCCATTTTATTCAATGAATCTGGAGAGATACTCAACAGATCATATGTAGATGACTCCTTTGGTGTCACTACAGGTCTCTCTGGGTTCTGTTGTCTGCATTGACTAGATCTCAGCTGATGGTAGTAGGACCTCATAGGTGTAAAGAGTGTGTAGTCACCTAGTTTAGGAGGTGTCTAAATATGGAGCTGACTCCTACCCAATCTACCCCTCCAGGAAAATTTAGGAACAGTGAGACAAATCCTGAAGTGATAAAGTAAATGAATTTCATGAGTCACACACATCTATATAAAGTCCCACAACTGTAATATAACATTGATACTCTCTCTAAGGCTCATTTTTTGTTTTATACATCTGCAATAGTCATTTTTTGTTGAACATCTTCGCTGTGGTATGCAGGCACCAATCCCTTGTGTCACTTGCATTGCAATCAGGGGGTATC